CACGGCATCTCAAAAAGTTTGTAGACACCATCACGGCATCTCAGAAAGCTGTAGACACCATCAGGGCATCTCAGAAAGTTGTAGACACCATCACGGCATCCATAGGAGTATTTCTAGACACCATCACGGCATCTATAAAAGTTTCTAGACGCCATCACCGCATCTATAGACACCATCACGGCATCTCAAATTTGTAGACACCATCACGGCATCTCATAATTTTAGAAGCCATCACGGCATCTCTCAACCCCACTCCCCCAACCCAACAGTCCTTGGACTTTGCGATCATGTCTTTCCACCTTTTCTTCTCCGTTTTTTGCTTGTACCTCATCTTGGCTGGCCGGTGATAGTTCTGCTTCTTGCCACCACCTTTGCTTTTGCCCCCTTTGCTGCCTTTCTTTCCTTTGCTGGAGGCGGCTGGCCCCAGAAAGCAAGCCGAGTTGCTTCGCAAGCGAGACGGAAATCTCGGCTTGCCCATCCTTTCGCGCGGAAGGCTCATGTCTTTTCAAAAAACCGGGGAGAAAGCATAGAGGGTAAAGATTTTAACTTCGCGAGGAAGTTCTTGGGGAAGTGTTTACATGGGAGGTGCCTCCTACTACAGATGTTGAATATCATAATTTAAATTATAACACATATTGTTTTGCGATCATACCCGTTCAAAGCCGTTCAGACCCATACACACCCGTTCGAACCCCATTCAACCCCGTACTGAAAATGCAACATTTTTGCGTACACGTGCCCGTTCAAACCCGTACCCGTTCAAACGCGTTCAAAATGAGATCAACATGCATTCATTTTCAGTTCGCAACCCGTTCGGGAATGCAACAAAATGTTGCATTTTCATATTTTTCTATACCTTGGTTTTGGGGTCTCAATTTGGAGTCTTTGGGGGTGGTCTAGAGGTGATACTTGTCCCACTTTAAGGTTCAATGACAGGTCTTCTGAATCTGAAAGGATTTTATGGCAGCTCTTGGCGAACAAACCCCTCTTCAAATGAGCAACAACAAGGGGCCCTAACGTACCTGCGGATCCTTGCCGCGGCGGTTCCGGCGCTCAGCCGTGATCCGGCCAGCAATCCCCGGCATGGGGTTGCGGCGCTCGACCGGAGTGAAGAGTAAAGCCATGCGGCAATACGTCTCCACCTTTGACTCCTGCGAGTGCAGGTGTCAAGGCATGCCCCCCCCGCCGGGCAACATCCGGTGATGACCCTTTTAGAACCTTCCGTTCTAAAATCCCGTCAACAAACAAAGACTTGTACTGATTAAAGTTTGTGGCCCCCTGTTCGCTACATGCATGAAGCCAGCAAATGATTTCAATTAATTTGTTTTTCACCGTCTATAACCTGAGAGTTAGTCCCAAGATTTTAGGCGCCTGGCCCAACCCCCCAAGATAGCCTTGGCATGCATCAGCCAGGCTGCCGACGGGGATGCAGCCAGGGGCTTGGTGCCGTAGTAGCAGATGCCGGTCTCGCGGCCGTGGAGAAACCGCACTTCTTCTGGTGGCGCGCCGGGGCCTAGCGCAGCACGCTTTACCGTTTCACAAAAGATGTTCACGATCGGTTTTTTTTCCCAATGAGCCACCACTCATTCCCCAGGTTGATGGTTTCACCGTGGCCATCGCGGTTGAATTGCAAATTTGGTTTCTCTGAAGAAGGTATCGTTAAAAATTACCAGTAGTACCGCACAAGGCAGCGGCGGAAGTTTCAAAAAATAGGAAACCTATAGGAGGGGTTGGTTGTTGTGACTCACGGATGGCAGAGCGAATCCACTGATGGACTGAAAGGTGATTGGTCTCTCTCACTCTTTCTCTCTCTCTCTCTCTTTTGCTCTCTTTCTCTCTTTTTCTCTCTTTTTCTTTCTCTTTCCCTGAGTATCTACCTACCTACCTACCGATGGAGGCGACTCCTTTCCCTTCATCCTCCTCCTCTTCATCATCCTTATGTTCGTCCTCCGCCTCATCCGCCTGCGGCTCCTCTTCCGGCAGCTCTTTCATTGCAGCCGCCACCAGTTTGGATCTGCTTCTCCTCTTCCTCCGCCTTTTTCTTGATTTCTGCTTCCACCAACTCTTCGGCCTTTCTTGCCAGTCCATCCATGTCCACCTCTTCTTCTGCTGATGCTTCTTTGGGTGGCGCTGCTTCTGGTGGCACCGCTGCTTGTGGTAGCAGCTGTGCTTCCTTAACACAAAACGTTCGTCCTTAACACAAAACTTTCGTCCTTAACACAAAATTTTAAATTCCTCAAAATTCTTGAAAATTCCTGAAATTCCTTGAAATTCGTTAAAATTGAAAACGAATACATTAGTGGACTTTCTTTCCATTTTCGCATTCCGAAATGAACTGCCTAGTTGATTCGAATACATAAGTGGATTTTCTTTCCACTTTAGTATTCCCAAATGAATTGCCTAATTGAAAACGAATACATAAGTATACATATATAAGTAGACTGTTCTGTCCATTTTACTATTCCAAAAAAGATGCCTAATCGAAAACGAATACAGAAGTATACATAAGTAGATTTTTCTTTCCATTTTAGTATTCCCAAATGAATTGCCTAATTGAAAACGAATACATAAGTATACAGAAGTAGACTTTCCAGTGTAATATTCCCAAATGAATTTCATTCAATTTCCAAATTTGCTTAAATTTCCTTAAAATTATTTCAAATTCCTGAAAATGTCTTAAACTTCCTTCAGAATTCCTTTAAACTCCAAAAATTGGTCCTTAACACAAAACTTTCGTCCTTGACACAAAACTTTCGTCCTTAACAAAGAACTTTCGTCCTTAACACCAAACTTTCGTCCTTAACACAAGACTTTTGTCCTTAACACAAGACTTTTGTCCTTAACGCAAAATTTCCTCCTTAACACAAAACTAAAAATTCCTTAAATTTCCGTAAAATTCCTTCAAATTCCCTCAGATCTCTTCAAATTCCTGAAAAATTCTTAAAATTCCTTCAAAATTCATGAAAACTCCAAAACTTGGTCCTTAACACAAAACTTTCGTCCTAAACACAAAACTTTTGTCCTTAAGACAAAACTTTCGTCCTTAACACAAAAATTGCGTCCTTAACACAAAACTTTCCTCCTTAACACAACACTTAGAATTCCTTAAACTTAAAACTCCTGAAAACCCCTTTCAATTGGTTAAAATTCCTTAAAATTCCCTAATTGAAAACTAATACATTAGTGGGCGTTCTTTCCATTTTCATTTTCCCAAATGAACTGCCTAATTGAAAACGAAAACATAAGTATACACAAGTAGACTTTTCTTTCCGTTTTAGCATTCCCAAATGAATTGCCTAATTGAAAACGAATACATAAGTGGAGATGAGGAAGGTGAGACTTTTCTCTCCATTTTAGCGGTCCCAAATGAATTGCCTAACTCAAAAACGAATACATAAGTAAACTTTTCTTTCCATTTTAGCATTTCCAAATGAATTGCCTAATTGAAACGAATACATAAGGAAGGTGAGATGCTGAGGAACATGCATGCAATACTAAAAATCAATGCTGAAGGCAAATTTTGTGAAATACTACAAAACGTGGCCAAGGGCAAAAAAAACGTAGTGTGGATATAAGATTAAGTCATGGTATTTGAAATTCAAGTTATAGTAACCAGCATATTCAAAATTAAATCGTGGTTGGGGACCCGTGTAAAACGCGTGCTCACAGATGAAACCGCAGGGGAGGTTAAGCCCGAAGGGGGTGGTCACAGTTCGACCTGATTAGTCATGCCGAACAGGGGTGGCCCAAAACCAGTTCGACGTGAAAAATCATGGCAACTGCGTCCAGTCTGCCCCAATTGCTAAAGCACATCCAACTCCAGCTAGCAAGCTAGCTTTCGTTATTACATATTTTCACAGAAGAATCTGGGACTGGGAGTGAGTGCTTTCACAATAAGCCAAATTTGTCGTCTCAGAAGAAAGAACAACCCTGACACAAAATGGCTAAACGTGCCAGTCTCTTTTTGGGAAGAGGCGTTAGGGTGAAAGCCTTGCACAAAACAGCCAAGGCTCGTTTTGAACTCACACAAAATGGTGAAACTTCTGAAAAGACACCCAAGCTTCATGACTTTAGGAGAAAACTGGAAAACTCCTGGCACAAAATGACCGGAAATGCCAACTAGAGCCAAGCAGAACTTTTTCTCGAGAAGAATGTCAAGGCGAATTGACAAAAACAGATCGTACAAAATCGCAAAGGACCTCCTCCGCAGAATAAGTAAGATTATGTATTTCGTTTGTTGCTCTGAGACCTTTTGGTTTTCCTCGCGGCGCCGATCCTGCTAAAAGTATTTTCTGTAACCGTGCAACCGTTTTTCTGATCGCTCGTCTTGATTTTATTTCGCCCCTTTGCTTTTGTCTGCAACCAACAAAAGCCAAGGCTGCGGCATCTTTCATTCAGGTGTTATTTTTGCTCCTTGTCTTGCCTTGTGTGGTCTGGTTCTGGTTGCTGGGGGAACAATAAGAAATGCAGCGGCTAATGGCACAAAGTGCTTGGGTGGTGCTGAGGGGCAGTGGTTTACCTCGTGGTTGTGGTCCTGGGTGTGTTGATTGTCGTTGCTGTTGCTGTGACCTGGACGGGGTTCGGTGTGTCGCAGCTTGTGTGTGTGTGTATCTGAACATGTCGTGGCTGCATGTGGCTGCATGTGGCTGGCTGCATGTGGCTGTGACAGTGCTACGCGCGTTGGAAACCAAGGATGCCTCTAGAAGCTAGAAGAAGTTGTTACAATTTACGTATATATTATTTATCCATTGTTATCATCTCTATGTCAGGGGTCAAGGAAAACACGTGCCAGATCAGCCAAAAAAGGTGTGGGCAAACATTACAAGGTCAAGAAAAGGGCAACGAGGGGTGGAGAAAAGACAGGCTGAAAAAATGTTCAAAGCTGTCCGAGATGCTGTATAAAATTGTTGGGCGAACGTCGAACGTCCAGAAGTTCATGGGTGGTGGGACGTACTCGTGTGTAATGAGAAAGAATAAATGGCACGAGTACTTCCCTGGACCTGGAGCATGCGACGGAGAAAGATCGACAAGCAGGACAGGCTGCTGTCACCTCGCATATTTTGGTGATGTTTGGTGCAAGATGTAACAAGCAAAGATCAATGTGCCGAGACGACTCCAATGTGCAGAAAAGAGCAGTGCAAACAGCTGTGGAATGCACCTGCATGCTTCGAACTCGTGGGAGACTGGGGCGAATCATCTTCCTTCTGAAACATGGAACATTTCATGGATTGAGAATGTCTTGGGTATCACCTCCAAACCATTTTCCGAAAAGGAAGAAATGAACATACTTGGAGTGAAGTCTAAGTGGAAAAATAGGATGAGCTACAATCAGCTACAATATGTATGATATGTATGGACACCTACGGACTATTAAGTATTTTTAAGTGTTATGCACACTCCGATCCACATTGCCTCAACGCGGAGCTCTGCCCGCAGCTGCAAAAGAGGCTGTTGAACCTCGACGAAGCAACAACATGCAACGACGTGCAATGACGTGCAACCACAGCAAACAAATGCAAACAACCTCAAAAGATCTCAAAAGCATACGAAAGAGACAAAGAGAAGAGCATTTTGTGATTTGGCCAATTTAATGTCACTGAGGATCCTCTCACTTCTTCAAGTTTCTTCAAGGTCTAAAATGGCGTAAATACCCAGGCAGTCGATCAGGCAGTCGCATTTTGAACTTTAGCCCAAGACTAAGAGGCGCATCGCATCTGGCAATTCGAGCCAGGCTATCTGAGCCTGGCAATGTCCGTATACATTCGGCCCAGGATTGAAGTCGACTTGAAGGCTGTGAGCACTGGGCCTGAGAGCTTAGACTCCAAGAAAAGTGTCTAGATACAAGATATACGAATAATATCAAAATATACAGTATCAAATAATTACAAATATAAGTCTGGATGTGGCAAGAGTTTAACAAATCAAGAAGATGTGCAAGTGAGACCTGTCAGATAAGCAAAATCGACCATCAGAATTGCAGCTCGCCTGGGTTTCGGCCAAGGATGTGCTCGAACCTTGAGACTACAGCGCAAACGAATCAAGATGAATCTGTATCCTTCTGCACTTGGCGAAGTTGACTTGACCGTCAAGGCATCACAAGGTGTACTGTTGATTCGCGGGATATAAAACAGTCAAAAAGGACGAATCACAGTGCAGTACCTAATCATCCAGCAATCCTAGGTGTACTCGTAGGATCTCGTAGGTATAGCGTTCAACTTACTTTTCCTGGCATTTAGATGGCGGATGATGGCGGCAAGGCAGAAAAAGGCAGGCCTGTCAAAACCGAGGATCTGGCAACTACCGCCAGTGTATTGAGCTGAAGCCTCGGAATGTGACACAATGTGTCAACAAACGTTTCATTTTGGCAATTCAAACACAAAGAGAAACCAAGATATCCAGTGCGGTAAAGCCAAGGTCGTGGCCTCTGATTTTCGGGTTGTCCTTTTTTGCCTTGGAAAGGTCCCTATCACAAGACATCACAAATATATAAATCCGCCCACACCGCCTTGGCGGTGAAGGCGTGCTTATTGGGGGGCAACAGCAACACTAAATGCTCAATGACATTTGTTAATATAGCAGTCGCTATATCAGCTTTAGCTGGGGGGGGGGCCAAAAACGGTTTCGCACCGAGACCAGAATACGGTGGTGTTTTCGACATTTTTCGAGGATTTTTGGGTGTCTGAGCGCAAGAGGGTATTGAAATGGAATTTTGGGTCATTTTGGTAGCTTTCCGGCAATGGAAAAACGGCCAAAAATGAAAAAAACATTGTACATAGCAAGATTTTGCAGGGTTTTTGGATGCCAGAGCATTGAAAACACTGCAAAAACAAGTGTTTTGGACTGACGTTATAGCAAAAAACGTGTAAATTACCGTATGCTTGACTGGAAACATTACAAAAACACTGTCAAAAGCAATATTTTGGAAGGATTTACTGCCTTTATTGCAAAAAACGTGTAAATTACCGTCTGTTTGACTGGAAACATTGGAAAAACACTGTCAAAAAAAATGTTTTGGAAGGATTTCTTATATATATGTTGGAGTTGGCTACCGGCATTGGCACATGGAAAAATTGAAGAAAACACTGTAAATAGCGGTATTTTCAACGGTTGGGGAGATAAGGGAATTGGAAGCATTGTCGAACATGATGTTTTCGACCGGTTTTATGGCGACAAAAGTGTAAAGTACCGTGCTTTGAAGGAAACCATTGCAAAAACATGGAAACACATTCAAAGAACACGGGATTTGGGGGACTATCTAGGCGTCGTTGTCTAGCTATTTGAAATTCCGCAGCTTGGAGAGCCTCCAAGGGAGGGAAAAGTGAAAATTCCATAGCTTGGGAAGCTGTCACGGCGGGGAAAAGTGAAAATTCCCTAGCTTGGGAAGCCCCCACGGGGGGGAAAAGTGAAAATTCCCTAGCTTGGGGAGCCCCCACGGGGGGGAAAAGTGAAAATTCCCTAGCTTGGGGAGCCCCCACGGGGGGGAAAAGTGAAAATTCCCTAGCTTGGGGAGCCCCCACGGGGGGGAAAAGTGAAAATTCCCTAGCTTGGGGAGCCCCCACGGGGGGGAAAAGTGAAAATTCCCTAGCTTGGGGAGCCCCCACGGGGGGGAAAAGTGAAAATTCCCTAGCTTGGGGAGCCCCCACGGGGGGGAAAAGTGAAAATTCCCTAGCTTGGGGAGCCCCCACGGGGGGGAAAAGTGAAAATTCCCTAGCTTGGGGAGCCCCCACGGGGGGGGAAAAGTGAAAATTCCCTAGCTTGGGGAGCCCCCACGGGGGGGGGGAAGTGAAAATTCCCCCACGAGGGAAAACCACCCTTAGCCCCTCTCACGGACCGAAATAAACCTGCGGTGTGGGCGGCCACCCCACGCGAAGCGGGGTGAATACAAAGAAAACGAAGCACGACTTGAGAGCTTCATAGTGTCTGCTAAGGTCACGGCTGCACATTTGCACTCGATTGACGTCGGACTGCTGGAGTGCTTCTCACCCTGTCCGGCATGGGGAGACCATAGTCTGAAAAGCAACGGCGGACCTACGGTATCATACAGTATCAGTATCAGTATCCATGCTATGCATTGCTATTCCATGCTATTTCATGTACCAAATCTCAGTCGCCCAGTCCTGCAAATCTCAACTTTTTTCTCCTGCCTTCCATTTGCGGCAGGCGCCTGAGTTAAACTGGCCTGGGGAGGCGAAAACTGTGCAGTGGAGGGCACATCGAACTCAACAGACTGATGCAAATGAGGTGGTTGAAACGTAGTGAATAGATGTAAATAGTGAATAGCAAAAGCACGGCTCCGGCAACTTCGGAGAGTAAAGTGGCAAGTGACTCAAGCGACTGCTTAAGAGGAGCATGCACAACAACTATAGAGACAAAGCCAAGCGACCACTCGCAAAGAACATCCACAAAAAAAAAACACAGGGAAAAGATCGAGAGACAAGAGATTGGAAGGAGTCGGACCGCAAGGTCCGAAAAGAAGAGACAAAATATGGCCGAAGTTGTAATGATTACCAATAAATATCCCCATCATTGTGTTTGCTAAAGCAAAAGCAACTCTGGCCAGCCATCTCTAGAGTATGCTAGAGTAGCTTATGAAAGCTACTTGGCTACGGGATACTGGGGGTGAAAGTGATCTGGTCAATTCAATGATTTGATAGAGACATGCTTAAAAATGGGGAGCTTCCTCTGCATTCACGCCAAACGCATTTCAGTTGATGCGTCGACACGCAAGGTCCCATGCGACATGTTTCAAGCTGGGGCTAACATTGCCTTCTGCGTATTGCAAGTTTCGCAAGAGCTTTCTGTGCGTCTCTGTGTGTGCGCGCCTGGAGACCACCAAGACAAACGCATTTGACGAAAGGAGAGCAAGGATTGCAATTCCAAGCGGACTAGGACCAGGACAGTAGAATCCAGGTGAGTACCGTAACAGCACCATCAGCACTGAAGTCACGACTCTGCGAGCATACCATAGCGAATCATAGAAACATATTGAGAGCTTCAATTCATCAAAACAAAAAACGGCTTTGAAATGATTTCAGAAATCCAGGTCACGGAATTCATAGGACAATTATGGAAATCCATGGAATGCAGTGGACGTGGACAGCTGCAAACTTCTCAACGCCAAGAGTTGCGGTATGAAGCTGAGCTTCCAACAGCACGTTGCATGATTTCAGCAATGCAGCGTGGTGCGGGAAGTTTACAACATGTTCATACATTTTCCAGCATGTTACAACACCATTGCTGATCTGCACAGAATCCTTGAGCATCCTTGGATATCCTTGGGCCATGTCCCATCATATACTTGCTGCCTACATTTAGATGCAGGCGCAGAAGCAGCAATCCGGCACGGACATTGTAGCATTAGGGTTCTGATACATAGACCATGGGTGCCAATGGTACATGGAGAAGGGTTTGGAGCCTCCAGAGAATGGATATGAGATGGATATATATGGATTGTCAAACCATACCTTGCCCAGACTTGCTTGATGTATCTTGATGTATCTTGATGTATTTGTACGGAAAGATTCCTTTGAGCCGGAACCTGTGAACAGTCCAGAGGTCTAGTTTCTGACAGGCAATGCAGCACGCAATGGCGGCAAGGGCCTGCTCCACTTCCGCCAAGTGCATTCGCACCTGCCTTGAATGCAGTGTGCGCCATGCATATTGGGCTAACACATGCCCGTGATGCAAGACAATGTAGCTGATGCAAGGGACACACGCAGTTAGTCGTTTTCAAAACCCACCAAGCACAGGAACGCTTGGCATGTGTGTGTGTGTGTCAGTCAGTCAGTCATTTCTACGTCTGAGCAGGCCATGTTTCAGAAGGCCTATTGTAGATATTGTATGATATTGTAGTCCATGGGAGAACGCGTGTGACAGTGTCAAAATCAACCAAGGCACATTGCAAGCTTGTAAATGACTGCTATCAGGTCAGCCTGCAAACGGGGGAATATGCAATAAAGATCAATAAAGTGTGAAAGATTTCCAGGTGCCCATAAACTGGGAATGCTGCTTGAATGCTGCTTAACGGATCTGAATGGAATAGAGCCTTGCTGTCTTGGTCATCCTTTGGAGGTGGATACACTGAACCAAGATCATCGAAGAAAAGCGCCTTCTCCTGGGCCAAGCCATCAGATGTCACAAGCATTGAATCGTGGTCAGTGATTTCATGTTGTTCCAATGATTCCAATGTTTGTTCCCATCTTCATCTATCTTAGTCTATCTTCCCATTCTTCCCGACTTCCCTGCATCTCCGGTCCTTGTACAAGACAAAGGCAGATAGGCAGCCTTTTGTGATCTGATCCACTTTGTGTTCGTTCTTCTCCACAAAGGCCTGGCACTCCAAGGTCCGGTTAGGTGCTCTGCGGAAATTCAAGGCGATTCAAGGCGTCTCTTGGATTCAGATGATTCAGTTTCGAAGGATCAAAGGGCCTGGATAACGGAATGGAAGTGGTCGTCCAAATCGATGCTTTCCTGGATCATGGAAAGTCAAAAGATGTCGAAAGGTTAGAGACTAGAGACTTCCCAAAACCACGTGAAAAACAAGAGTGCATAGCCCAGCATCATTGCTTCTACGCAGAGATGCGTGTTTGCATGGAGATGAATGGAGTGGAGATGCATGGAGATACAATGCCATCAAACAATCTCGACATGCGACTGTGGTCGTGCACACATGGCCTCCCGATCAAGGGGCGCTTTGGTCATTCGCCTGAAGTTCTGCAGGCTCTGATCGACTTCGAAATGCAGAAACTGATCATTGAACGAATTGAACGGTGATACTGAGATATACATGATATACTGAGTGCCTCCGTTCAATCTTCACTTTCTCTCGTTTCCCACTTTGGTATCTGCCTTAGTCACATGAATTGTGTAGTGAACAGACAGATTCTGAGATACTCAGAGGAGGACCAGTTTCGCAAATCTCACGGAGAGCGAAAAAGCCATGTGTCAACTCAGCACAGTCCTGCATCGCATTGCATCGCATCGCATCGCTGCACAGAGTTCTGCCTGTTTTGGACACTTGCCGCCACGAAGGACTTGTGGTGCCTGGTACACTGTGAAGCTTTTCATGCTCTTCGCTGCTGACAACTTCTTGAGAACCTGCCAAAAAAAAGCTGCTACAGCTTCTGAAATTGCTACAACTTCGCAAAGTTGCTGCAAAGTGAATATATCGAAGCTGGTACAAGTGTCCCCGAAACATGATGGCCTCATCAGGGAAAAGCTGAGAAGCCATCTCAGGCTTCATCATCGCGAGAACGAAGTGAAGCATGTTGTGCTGACAGGGGTTACAAGGAGGCCACTGAAATGTCACTGACTTGTATTGCAGAAGCATTTGCTCCATCAGGCTTTGTCCTTTTCTCTTCCTGTCTCTCCCCAATCGTTTGGCTCGTGAACTCGTGTGCAAGTCTTACCGGACAGCCTTTGAAGCAGTTGATTTGGTCTGGGCCTTGCAGAATTGCAGTGCATCTACACTATAGGACAGGCTTTGATAGCTCTGACCCAATGACAATGTGTCTGGCATCACTCCAGCAAACAAGATATCAAGGCAGTGCAAGGAAGTGGCAACAGCTCAAACAGAGACGTGAAAATCATGCCTCAGGCCGAGGCTAATCGTTCCAAGGAGACTAGGCTGAAGCCTTGAGGAGCTTGGGGGGCCTGACAAAGAAAGAAAGAAAGAAAGAAAGAAAGAGAGAGGGAGAGAGGGAGGGAGCGGCTCTGAAAGGCCCAAAAACTTTGCGTTGAGATGCTGCAGTTAGTGGTTAGGACGGTTAAGAGACGTACCAGGCAATTGCTGTTCAAGGCTGTCCCAAAGCGATGCGCAATGTTGAAAAGCCTGGCAAGAAAAAAATGGAGTCACAGGCAATGCGGCAAGATGCCACCAATGAACCACACCACCATGGCTCCTGTATCATCTGTATCCACTCCGATTTCCAAGCTGAGCTGAGCTATTATGTTTGGTCAAGCGTGCCAAGATTGTACTCTCGCAAGCTGTCGCGCATGGCATCCACGGTCATTAGGGCCTGAAGCATCAACCCAGGATTTTGTCCGGTGGGAAAGGGTGGGAAAGGGAAGCGTGATTCTGATTCAGCTTCAAAACATCTTTGGCTCATTCTCTAAGCCCGCTTTTGTACTGTAAAGGATGTTAAGGGCCTTTCCTAAGAAAAGGATAAAAAAAGAACACAGTTCAAATTGCCACATCTTTCATAGCACAGAATGGCAAAAAGACCTGACCATATCCAATGGAAAAACTTCCCAGGCATTGCAACGTTGTCAAAGTTCATGTCTCTGGCCTGTTTCACCAAGACATCCTTAGGTTTAAGGAGCTACTTGTTACGTCTTAACTTTTTTCATGTTGAAATAACAAGCAGTCAGGAACACATTTAAAAAACATGTTTGAACATCATGGATGTGAAAAAAAAATAGCGCACCCCTAGCGGGTTTGCTAGCGCTGCCTTGCAGAATTGGTGAATTTAGTTGCGTGCCGCCTCATAACGAAGAGGACAAATCCCTAGATCCATACTAATTATCAACCACTGGTATCACTGGTACAAACCTTCTGTCAACTATTTTTGGTAAATGGTCATTTGTTTGTAATACGGTGTAATACGCAATGGTTTATTGCCTGCTTCATGATCTCTCACTCAACATGGGTACTGGGTTGATTGCTTCTATGGAAAAGTACAAACATACACGCAGAAACCTGTAGTCCGTGCTTTCGTCTGGCTACAAGTGCTTTTTTTGCTTGCAAGACATTTCGAGTTTTAGGGCTGAGCCATCATCCTATGTCAATGCTGGAAAGTGGAGAGGTGAGTCAAACACCTGCCATGATATGATGCGAAACGCTCCTGACACATGATGTCGATGTTTCGAGAGCACCGTGCAAGGCTCTCCTGGTCCAAATCCGCAATGATTGAACATCTAGCCCCAACACTAACACTGTGTGATGTGCCAATTCCAGCACAGGAAGTCCTCAAATGCTGTCTGAAAGAGCATGCATTCAAGGCGCTCTTCTATCTGAGGAACCTGAAGCAGGAAGAACTGAGAAATAAGGGTTCATGATGGTTCATGTGGCGAGTGTATGCGAATATCATATCACGGAATATCACGGATACAAATTAGGACTTCGATTGTCGTCCACACCTTGAGAATCTCGTAAACCAAGCGGTGCAGCCACGGATCTTTCAGCTGCTTCAGAGCACCCTCAGCCGTGACTCAATCGGTGATTAGTGACTGTGGTGCCATGTGAATTCACGTAGGAATAAGTGAACAGCGACTGGATCCTTGGATATCTTGGATGAAATGCTGGTTTCATAGAACCTACACCAACTGGCACTGCAAGGAGCGGGGAAACGGATCGCGATGACAAACAAGCCAAAAACAAAACCAAAATTGCTACAAATTGCATGTTTAAATATATACATATATACATAGTTCATTGTTGCTGATGTTACAGATTTTGCTGCAAAACACCGCTTCTGGCAACACTGGGAGACCGCACAGCTCCGTGTGCTGCAACATACTTCGAGATTCCATTCCTTATCTTTCCAAAGCAGTCTTACCCTCGCAAAAGCTAGGAAAGACTCATATTCGCGAAGTTTTTGAACTGTTTCGAAATTCCTGCGAAGTCCTCCCGTCTTTCTGGCAGTTTTGCAGATTAGCAGTGCGAGTATTAGGCAGTGAGTTGGCATTGCCATTTCTTGTGTGCAAAAAAGATTCCCCTCCTTTGCGTCGCGGACGACTTTGCGCAGCATGCTCAATCCCTTCCAACGACATAACCACTTCGCATATTGTTGTGTGCATGGTTCATAACATATCACAAAATGAAGTGAAATGACATGCCAAGGGTACCATGACACAATAGACCAAACTCTGCCGACAGTCCAATAATCTGAGCTTTGACTTTGTTGAATGACTCGGTGACCAGAAGTTGCAGAACTACACTGACCTCCATAAAATGCCTTTGCATGTCCTTGCTGAAAACGGAATTTTGGAGATTCAGCCGACACGTATTAATGTTCTGTGACCATCATGTAAATTCTACGTGATTGCAGTTACATGTGCTCGTTCATGGGCTTCCCTGACACACTGACTGATACACTTTCTTTGCTTGGCCACTGTGCACAGTTCCCGCCTCCTCCTTCAAGATGTCATACTTGCAACTCAGCACCTTGGTTTGAAGAGACCAAGAACAGAAAAGAACAAACGAACGTTAGTTATCGTTAGTATCGTTAGTTAGTTGATAAGTTGCAGCAAAATTCGCAGCTTCGTCCCCACTGAGATGATTGCCGCTCGCTTCATAGTTGCTACAATCTGTCGTAGGCTTTCGTCTGACAAAAAAGGTCACGGAAAGGAGCACAGTCAGCCCAGTCAGCAGCGATATGCCAAAAAGAGATGTCATTGTTGGCTGCTGACTGACTGCTGACTGTGATTGTTCAGCAGAGCCTTTGTTCTTCATGCGGTACTTTCCCATTAGAATGCCCAACCTGATGAGTTTGGAAACCCTTTGCCACGGGTGCTGCAAGAAAAAAAAGATTGTATAAGATTGTCATGTTTCTTGATAAATGGCTGGCAGCCGGAATTACAAGGGTCAAGGGTCCAACATTCGGCACTGCTTCTCATCCAGAAAGGATGTCTTGTTGGTGTTGGCCTCAGGCAGGATGCAGCTTTTGATTTTTTCATAGCGCGCGATCCCTTGCCTTCGCAAATGTTTCACTGTGCCACTATGCTGAATGATGATAATTATGTCGTGTTCTACATGTGCTTAAAAGGTTTGCGTACTCAAAGGAAAGGACTGGCCCAAGGAGCTGCACTGCCGCTTCGCGTCTTTTGAAGTAGACCTGCCAGAATCAATGCAAAATCATGCAACATATCTGTCAATTTAGCAGGGAATGTGCCCGGATTCTCCCGGAATGCCAGGAAGATGTGCCTCTTGCATGGATTCTGGAAGATCTACGCAGTCCTCAACATCGTTGAAGGCTCCTGCGAACTCCTCGCTGATGGCCAAATTAGTATCTGCCTCTCGTGGACAACCTTTGGCGGTTGACAGCAAGTCCATGCAGTTCCGCAGCAGCCGATCATTGGATGAATTCTGGTCATTCTGGTCGACAGGTACGGCAGGTAAAGCCTTCCAGTGCAGAGTCACCAAATTCTTCTTGATCTCTTGGCTTTTCACGGCTGATTTTGCCATTGCTTTCGGATTTGGCGGTGGTGGACCCTTTCCTCCCTTGCCTTTTCCTTTCCCTTTGGCAGCTGGCTTGCTCGGAGCTTCCAAAGTTTCACGGGGAGCTTGGGCTTCTGAACTGGCCTCTTTGGGCTGGTCACTCATTTCATCGCCATGGCAAGCCGAAAATGTCGAAGGCATTGCTCCCACTTCCCTGGTCCCCTCACCATTGCCATTGCTGCCATTGCTGGCATTGCAGTCGTCAGCCACCTCTGTGAGTTCCTCGTTGCATCGTTTCTGTGCTGCTTTCACTGCTTCCACTGCTTCCACTTCCACTTTCTCTCGAATCTCTCGAGACGGTCCACTTTCTCCTCTTTCTACACACGCACCCGACGCACCAAGGGCATCCGGAGCTCCATGGAAAGTTTCACAGCTTCCATGCGTTCCACGGGAAGAGTTGCTTCGAGCGTCAAGTGATTTGGAATCTCCGCAGGCTCCGGAAAATCCTTTGTCCTTCTCTTCATGCTTTGCTTCTTGCGAGACTTGCAAGTTGCTTGGATTGCTTGGATCATTTTGCGGTGTTCCAGGCAAGAAGTCTGCCCTTACCATACCGGCGAGATTACTTGGATCATTGATCTGCGATGTATTAGTATGATTAGACTTCAATTGACCCTTCATTTGCACAATGGTGTTTTGCAATTCAGTGCACGATTTGAGTTCCTCTAGAATTGTACTCTGTCTGGTGCAAACTTCATTGCAAAGTTCATCTTCGAGTTGCCAGGCCTGTGCTTCCTGCCATTCCTGCCATCGCCTCTGTTCTTGCCGCATTAAGAAACCATTTTGTTCACAATGATCTTCCTGCCACAGTGATTTTTCCCTCATCAAATCCTTTTGCAGAAGCTGTATCTGCTGCATGATTTCTGCCACAGCTCGATCCGATTGCATGGCAAGCAGTAGCTTTGCCTCATCCTCCCCCACATAGTCAGCGATGACATCAAGATCTTCAAGCTGCATCAAGTCGTCGCCCATGGCCATCAAACCAACAGGGCATTTGGATGCAATCCGATACCTTGTAATACGTTGGATTGGTTTAGCCAAACAAGGAGAACAAGGTACATCGAAAGCACCTACATCATGCGAGAAAGGTACCTATCTTGTGTCTTACTTGAACAGCTAGGATTCAACTGTGGGAGCTGCAGTGTCTGTGGCATGATTTTGGTCCTATTTGGTTTGCTTAATGTTTCTCCCTGACACCGACCGGGGACTTATGCCCAAAAATAATTTCTCTTGGGTCCATAGCAAGAGATTGAACAATTGACAGAAGCTGCTTCGCTTTGCACGGCGGCAATCTTTGAGGATATTGATCGCGCAATACGCAGGGGGTAGACTTGCACAGCCGCCCAACATCATATGTTTGATTGTCACTGGCTTGTGAAGTGCGAAGCTTGAAGGATGGAACAGTGGCGGACACAAGCCGAAAGTATTGACGTCCGTGGCAATTGAGGAAAGTTCATCTCTCATCATCTTACTATCTTCTCAGCCGCTCAACTCCCATTCACATCTACAACTAAAAAGCCCGTTCTTTGACTCCTGCATGGCCCTTCCATTCCACGCCGAAAGCGAAACAACTCAAATCTAAACCTCATGAATCACACTGGCAGTCTGCCGTTGTTCTTCGTAAAACATCAGAGCGCCCACGATGGCCTGGAGCTGTCATTATCATTCAACAGTTCACAAGGATTCGCTAGCCAAGAGCATCCAAGAGCCAATACTGGCAATCACTTGGTCTACCTCCACCTGTGGCCTTTGGAAGCAGAAAACTGCACTGTGCTGCCCAGGCGCGCAGACTCAGGTTTGTCTTCCATTTTGGCAGAGCCTGGAAAACATATGAAAACATTGGCCAAGTAAAGGAAGCAGCGGAAGGATTGCACAGCGCTAGCCTTGCTGCCAAGGTGCTAGGCGTTTCCTGACCAAGCAGCCTGGTACCACAAAAAAATACAAGGAGCGAAAAAATAAAAAAAAACTAAGCACATCTAAGCACTCGACCAAATGACATATGAGACCCGATAATCATCGATGCCGTCTAACACTTCAGACGCCTGCAGGATGCTGTTGCCAGATTTTCAAGAAACTCGTAGTCGTACAAGTAATATCAGTAGATCCCAACAAGCAGAGCACTCTATGTGCAATCTCAACATGCAGCGCAAAGGAAACAAGAAGCTCGAAAAAACAGGGAGCGTAAAGAAGAGTAAGGGACAGTTGGGGAAAGTAAGGGAAAGTCAGGGAAAGTCAGGGAAAGCTTGGAAAAGTTGGGCAGTTTAAGGAGCCAAAAGCAGCGCCGCCATCTTGGTGACGCGTTAGACCAGCAATGACGACGTTGTATCTTCACGACTGTCACCATCGACGACTCATCAACAAGGCAGTCAAAAACGTTGATGCCGGCATTGAATCCACACAGCTAAATCGAGAAGGGCTTTTAAAAGCAAAAACAAATCATGGTAGCAGTAGCAACAAAAACAAATTGATTCAATTGATACCTTAATGTAAATTGTTTTTTAAAGCTATGTAAAGCTACTTGAAGGGAGTCAAATCTCTGGTCAGGAAATGTCAGGACAAGAAAAAGGCACAGCAAGAACATCCATCCTCAGAAGAACTGAACTGGGATATCGACATGACATCGGCATGCTTTGCACTGAGGTTGAAAAAACGTACTAAGTTACTATTCTAATAATTTGCAAATATAATTTGATGTGATTTGCAAATATTCACAGCATGAGATGTCCGCCCATTCTTTCAAATACAGTGATTTCCCAGCCTGGACTTTGTGCAGAATGCGATCTGACCAGAAAGCCTTCAATGTCTCTCGAGTGTGTTATTTGAATGACACAGCCAAATACACTCGCTTTAAGCACTTCTTCTTACACATCTTACACGTTTAAGTGGACTCTGCTAAGGGTCTGGCTACCAATCTTCCACTGATTGGTGTAACAGTCACCTTGTGGAATGTACAGTTGCTGAAGCATCAAAGGCTGAACGGCTCAACGGCTCAAAGGCCACAACGAAACTCCACACCGCTTCATGGCTTCATATCACCGCGCGTTTCGAATGTAGACTCAGGGCTGTCGCTGGAAGCTTCAGGCGTTCTGGATTGGCATTGGCTGCTTCGGCCTCTGCACTTGAAAAGAAGCTGAACGCTTCACGGACTGGCCGGGAGGACTGGTCGGGAATTAAGAAGCAATAGACAACAACAATGCAAATCGGAAGGTGGCACAAATAATTGGTGCTGAAATGAATATACTACCATACTGTGTCATATTGCGTCATACTGACAAACTTTTTCGCGAAGAGATGCAAGTTGACACGCCTCTGTCTCTCCTTCCCCCAACAGGGTAATCTCGCCGCCAAGGGGTGGCCTGTTAGTGGTTTGATGTGGTTTGTACTCGGAATCGCTCGGCATCTACAAGTAGCTGATTTGAGCAGTCTCCAACTGCCTCCAGGAATCGTTCAAATAAACCAGCAGCCTCAGCGAAGCAGTCAAGGTGCTGAAGAAAAACCAGACTCGACAACTGGGGTCAAGGCGAAAGTTTGCGATTGTACGGTTTCTCAGCCACTCCAACCTGGCCAACTTCTGCTCTTTAGACCCCTGAAACACGTGGCATGACTATCAAACAAATCGTCGGTGGACATCTAGGTGAGCATCAAACGAAGCCCCGTTGCCCACGCTCATGTTGAGCCTCATTGCAGCTTGTTGGTTTTGCGTGGTTTTGTATGAACTTTGTATGGACTTGTTGCAATTTGTTGCATCTCCTTTCAGCAGGCTATCAGAATCAGAATTTCAAATTCTTTCTTCACAGGCCTCTTCTTGCACCTCTCTGAGCTTCACACTTGTTCCCGATGAATTTGTCTGACAAGCCCATCTCAGGGAAGGCTAGATTCACCTTGGAAACGGGGGTGCTGAACGTGTATCGAAAGATCATCTACAGAATGTTTAAGAAAAAGGTAGAAATACTTCGATGTCTTCAAAATCTTTACATGAATATGTGTGATGCCTTCTTTGGTGAGAGTTCCATTCTAGATCCAAAAGACTGTCCATGTTATTGCAGGCAGAATAAGCCTACTACGCAGCCCACAAAGATTTGAAGCCCGCTACGACAATCATACTTGTGTATGCATTGAATCAATCAAAAATATGGTCTTGCTCTGGCTTACCTTCATAAGAATTATACACTATCAGAAATAAATGAAATACGAAAAAGAATTGGGTTAAAGGCGGCACTAGAGGTTATTCTAATTTACTAGTAACCGATGAGCCTGCGGCAATGCACTTTCCTACTAGGCACGTTTGGCAGGAGGTATTGACCAAGTCACTCGGCGAACAAGCTCTTGGGTCAAAGCCACAGTATAGTGCCACATACCTCAACCAACAATGAATTCAAACTAGCGGTGTGGACATTTCTTCTGCGCTGTTCTGTCTTATCCGTTCTTAATACTCGACTACGCGTATATATGTATCATGCAAATTACTGTTTCAAGGTAATCTGGCTTTGAGAATACAAACGGCAACCATTTGAAGTACCTTCCAACAACATCAATTACAACATCAAAGATGATGTTGCTACTGCACTTAGGCAACAATCTCAGACAGCCAGCACAATGCAACGCAATGTATCATTTTCCTGAAATTGCTATATAGTTCTTCTTTCAGGAATACGCTTGCTGAAAATGTTGTTTTCAGCACGTTCGCCAGTCTGCCATGCATTACAACACTGTGGCATACTGTTGCATTGTGAAAGAGAGAATGAAGGAGAGATTGCAATGACAGCGCGACGCGCACGTGGGCAAACCAAATATCGTTCTCTGGTGACCTCCGTCGCATACACGTTCTTCTTGTCGTAGTACACGGCTTAGTTTGCGGATGATGGCGTGCTGCACGAGCAACAAGCTGCAGGTCCAAGGCTGTGACTTCCACCAAGAACTGATTGCGATTTGATGAAGTGTCCCTGGTGCCACAAGTCCTCCACTTCTGCGCCTTGCAAGAGATGCGGTAGGCTAGCGCAAGCGTGAAGACAATGTCAGTTTCCAGGAGAGTTCGAGTGCAGGTTACACATGGAAAAAGAAGAAACAACAATGCTGAACGATTTTAGTTGATTTATATACATATAATATACTCTAATAAATATAATTAATATAATATAATATAATATAATATAATATATATATATATATTGTGTATATATATAATTATATATATGTTATGATATGTTATATGTAATCGATAGACTTACTTGGCCGAGTCTTGCTGCGTCTGTTGAAGTTCTTGAATTTCACCGAGTCTTTGGCGCATTGCTCGACAAAAAGAGAGCGGAAGGCTAGGCCCCGAAGAAGCCCACCAACCTGTCAAGCGTGGCACCGCGCTTTGTATCGACAGCTTCAAAGTATGAAAGCCATTGCAAGTCTGGGACTGAGACGTGATTCACACTGATTCAAATTGATTCAATCTGCACAAGGAAAGACACTGCTGAGACAAAGCAAACCGACACAAACAACCCATGAAGACTTTGGTTGCTGCCAGTGCTAAGGTTGTTAACTTGTCAACACATGCCGGTTTTGCCGTGGTCACGAAGGCCAGCAATTAGCTCATCAGACCAATCGTCCATGCTGCTCACAATCTGAATTGGCATCGAGTGAACGCTTCAAATACATTAACCATTAAGGTTGCATAGAGGTTGTTTATGTGCACTCTGGAAAGGCCTCTTGCTTGAATTTGGCCACCTGGGACTCTGAAGTTGCAAAGTCCTGTTATGTCAGTGTTTGGTTGCATACCCAAAATCCCGCACTGAGAAACAAACAACACAAAAAACAACACGCGAGGCACGGAAACTGAGACATCATCACACATCTAAAATAAATCTAAAGGACATCTAAAATACTCTAAAAACCTCGAATCTACAGAAGTCTTTGACCTTTATGTTGCCAAATGTTGCCAAGTCTTGTTGCATTTGGTTTGCGGCCAAAGTGTTTTGTTGGAATCCACAGAACACTTCGCCTCCTTGGCCGATCCACGCGTTGGACTCTTCGCCGTGGTAGCCTCACCTGCAGCACAAGCGCTCGGAATTGCAACGAAGATCTCACAGATCGGTTGATTCTGCACTGAAAGAAACCTGAAAAACTTGTGCATTGTATCTTTCTGTGTCATTTTGCCATGTTAACATGTTACACCTCCAAAGCCCTTGCTGCGCATTCGCACTCGCTGCCTCCTGCGAATGATACCCGCAAGTAGCACATCAGTTGTATACAACCCTTCTGTCCAGCCCTTTGCTCAAACTAAATCCTGACAGCTATGCAAGCCACGCAGGCTGCGCAGGTGGAAACTGCTTTCTGCCTGGTACCTGCCAACAAGTTGTGCCAAGGGTTTGCCAAATACTGGTTGTATGTCTCGTCCCAGTGTGGCCTGATGGAATACTGGACTGAGCAGCCAAATTCCCTTCAATTTAACAAAGGATTCATTCTGCTCTCTCAATTTCTCTGCTTCTCTTCCCATACAACGAAGCCGAGAACATTCTTAGTGGATATTCTGCAGAGTAGGCTTCAACAGACCGTGAGGCGCCATAATGGTGCAAAACTGCATCTCCACATTCAGACCTTGCAAAGAGAAGCACTGCATTGCTGGCATTCCCGTGGTCAAATTTGGACGCTCAACAAGTCGCGTTGCCCTTGAGGACCGGAACCGACAGACTTTCACGGTCGGAATGTCAGGCCGCAAAGTTTCAGCCCAGGCCCTTCCCTGAGACAAGCTACTTGCTTTGCTGATTTTCAAAGCTGTCCATGATCAAAAGATGTCAAAAGCTATCAGAAACCTGGGTGCGAACTGTTTACAGCTATTCCAATAAGGTCGGGAAAAGGCGGGCGAGTTAGGAAAGCCCCGATATTCACAACAAACCAATGGGTTTTTGACGCTGCTGATGTGAAATCTATTGAAATCGAATAGATGCTAATACAGAAATTGGCTGAAGATATGTGATAAACTTGATAAACGAACTGGCTAAAGATCCCTGAAAAGAAACAGGAAACTTTGTCACTGGAGTCACTGGACTTCGTGGAAATCACACCAGGTCCGGCCTCGGACGGTCTTGGACAAAGTGCGACCATCAGGCTTTTGCCCAGCATTGTATACTGGAATAGACCAATCAGCGTTTGTTCCATACAATCGTTGACCAGGTTTCCAGGACACTCGCTGCTAGCATGACATCGAAATATAAGACAAGTAGTCCTCAATACTGGCACCCATTCTGGCACGCTGTTGCCTTACTAGTTTGACTTCTTACGTCAGTGTTAGCGCAAGTTTCGTTTACTGTGAGTTTAGCCCTTTTACAGCCGTGTTGATCCAGTCTTGCGAGCGGTTTCAATTCTCCGTCTTCCCTGCATTTACTACAGTAGTTCGATCTAGCATGATCTAGCTGCTTTGAACCGTGACAAACTGCGGCAAGCGAAGGTTAGTTCACCGTTCCAAGTTGCAGTAGTACCTCACCACACATCACCGACCTGCTGAATACATTGCTATGCACTTCTTTTGTTCTTTGCAACAAATGGAGGCTGATTGAGTGCTCCGTGTAAACTCCGTTTCGCCTTTGCGAATGGAGTGCGCATTTGTTGCAAGCCACATTGAACTACCTAATCAAACTGCACAATGCCCAAAGCTGTCCAAGCTGTCCCTGAAGACTTTCTTAAACCTTCTGATTGATAGCAGAACTGTATGATATCAAATGAATTCAAATGAAGCATAAGAAAACGTTTTTTGGAGACTTCAGAGACGTGAGATGGAGGCCGAGGCCTGTGAAGCCATGCTTCACCCCAAGAGAAATATATACACACGGGCCATCCTGCGCCATCCTGGGCCGTTTCTTCCAGAACTTTGAGCCCTTCACCGAAAATGTAGCTTCTTGGAGCTGCACAGTGAAGGGCTCTTAGTACCTGCTCAAGGATCTCAAGGGTGACTGTGATAGTCTGCCAAGAAATTTGTCCCTGGTGTTTAGGTACAGACCTCTCACGAGAGGAAAAGACAGAAAAGAAGCACGTGGAGAGGCTCAAACTATGTTTCACTCAGCAGTGAACTCCGACTTCAAACAAGGATGGTGGTGAAACCTCTCTTTCTTCTGGGGTCTCATCATGTTTCATTCAATACTGGTGATGAATGGCGAAGCTTAGTGAACTTCCGCAACCCAGGCAGCTTGGGCGCACTTCACCGCGCGAGTCTTCTGGCGCACGTCAGCTCCGCCTTGACCTGTGGAAAAAGTTAACCAGCATCCGGCTATTTCAAAGCACAGTCTGCCAGTGTCCATCTATGTCCATCTCTCAATCCTTGGTGAGAGAGAGACTGGGAAAATAGATGGAAAAAAGGGCAAGACGGAGCAATACATAGTAAAATCCAAGACGTCAGAGCCCAGGTACGGGTACGAAACTGCAACATGTTGACTGATGATCCGCTGGTACCCACATTTCCAGTTGCAAAGGTGGCCTGGCAATTTCGCAGCCTCTTTCCTGTACATCTCCTTGCCTAGGTAGACAAACTAACTTCGGCCGTCTGCCATCTGCCTCACATCTGCCTATGCATCCTATGCTGCGCTGCACACCAAGTACCAAAGCAACCAGGGATTGCTCAGGTCTTGTCTTTCTTTTTTCATTTGTCTGCAAATTCTTCTCATTTCCTGGTAGGCCCGGACTGAAGGCAGGGATGAACCAAAAACTTCTCGCTTTTTCAGGGACACCGTTTGAATTGACCTGATGTGTGTGTGTGTGGAATTAAGATGTACGATGTACGTGTTTGGATCACGCCTTGACGGAGGCCTTTCGGGCCTTTTTTTCTTCTGCCGTCTCATCCTTCGGACGAGTCGTCACAACCTCGCAGGCTGCTTGTGAACATGGTCTCAATTTCCTCAGAAACTTGTGCCATTCCCAGCCAGCAAACTCCAAGCTAAGTCTCAGGCATCCGGGAGTTCAACGACATCCTTGCCAAAGACAAGCGCACAACTGTTTTCAATTGAATGCGGTGAATTCTTCTCGAACTCTGCAAGGTCTTGGAATTTGTAGACAGGCAGCGCTGTCACACCGCTGGGGCATCTGACCTCTTCCTTTTCTTCACCTCCATGACCAACAACTCTTACATTGTTGACGTACAATCTACCAGTACAGGTCTATCTGTCTCATGTGACATGCTGGGCCTCCAGATTCCGCTACCGGTTTCAGTACTGGAGGCTTCTTGATGGCTTTGACCTTTCCAATTTTGCCTTGGACAACAAGCTGTGATAAAGAGCACGTCAATCCGAAAAAGTACCGTCGGTTTCGAAACTAAAGCAACGATACTTTCACAGCACATGTACAGAAATTGATGCACTTCTCACTTGCCATATTCTTTCCATCAATCCATCAATCAAATCAATCAAATCAATCAAATCAATCAAATCAATCAATCAATCAATCAACCAACCAACCAACCAATCAATCAATCAATCAACACTTGGTCCTGTCATTTCCCATCAACACACCCCGAGCCTGGTCTATTGGAAAGATTACTTAGTGTGCTGAGCACAGTTTCGCAATCCCATGTCTTCGACCTCAGTGAACTTCTGAGAGGCTCTGGAGTCCTAACATGTCCTAACCAAATGAGTGACCAAACAAACAAGCAAACAACATCAATCAAACAACGTCAAACCAACTGGATTCTTCAATGCGTGCAATCAATCAACATAACATGATGCCCAGAAACTCATCATCACTGTCATCTCCAGATTCTGTTTCCTCTTCACTTTCTTCCTGTCAAATGCGTCCAATGTCTGTTCAACGATGTCTATATTGTCTATTAAATTCTATTAACGCATCAGCTGAAACCACTCTTAAGCCATCAGGACATGCGATGACATGGGGTCCTCGAGATAGTGTCGTTCAATGATCGCTTTCGTCTCTGCAATGACCCGAGGCTCGTCATCCTCTCAACAATGCTGTCTACAACGTCTACAACGTCTACAACGTCTACAACGTCTACAACGTTTACAACGTCTACAACGTCTACAACGTCTACAACACCAACTCTCTACCCGAGTCTACCCGAGTCTACCCGGGTCTACCCGTCTACCCCTCTTGGATCTTGGCAAGTCCTGCCTTGAATCCTCTTTGGGGCTCGTACAAAGAATACAACCTTGGCCACTCAACAGAAGTTGAAGCATGTTGAAGACAAAAAAAATGTGTTGGTCTTTTGATACAGTACAACATAGTACAACTGTGCTTGAAGACAGCAGCCCTGGCAATGAGGTAATGGAGCTTTCGAGACTCGCTTGGATGCATGGGCTTCACATGGCTTCGCTACTTTTTGCTGATTCGATCTGAAAAACACTGATATCATCCAGATATCATCCAGATATCATCCAGATATCATCAGTTTCCTGCAACTTTCTGCCACACCTTCTGTACATTTCAATGAGGATCTTCCACCAAACCCTACATTTCTAAAGCATCGTTTGTAACTGTAACTTGCGCGGCCAGGAACTCCTCTCTTTCTGCTTGTTTCTCCTCCAAATACCTAGCAGCTCAGCAGCTCAGCAGCATGGCTGGGCATCCGGAATTCCAAACATGTGCTATGCAGGTGCAAAGGCTGCCAAGGCCAAAAAGAACATTCTCTCCACCGCTGTGCACTCATCTAGAACTTCATCGTCCAACTCCGCATTTCCTTCAATGTCTTCCTGTGCTCAAAGAGGTTGGAAAGCAAAGTGTGTTCAAATTTTGTTCCAACTCTCGCAGCTCTTTCTCACATTCTGTACCGCTGATATCGTGACAGTGTTGTCTCAGGACAAATTGTCGCAATGGTCTCCTCGTCTCGAGCGCCTATCCTGAGCTGATCACAGTACAGTTTCACTCTGACGTCAGAAAGATCGATGGACGGGTCGTCGTAAAGATCTTGAGACAGGTTGTCAGAAAAGTTGTTAAACATCGTCAAACTAACTTCCACTTCCTCCTGAAATTGCATCTACCCACGGAATACTGGCCGCTCTTGAGTAGAGTAAATGGGATTAACATACAGCTAGGCCAAAACTGAGTGAAGAACTCATCATCTGCATAGTGATCTGCAAGAAATTGCTCGAAATCCTTTGCAGCTGCCAATTGGGTCCACATCCAAAATCAAAATAGGTTGTGTCAGGTTGCCAACTGATCTGAGAAGTTGCCAATTGAAATGGACTGTAAAACACCTGCCTCATCCTTTGGTTTGGCCTTGGCGATTCGCTGAACACTAAAGTATACTGAAGTACTCTGGCAACAGATCTGAATCCAAAGAGACAACAGATCTGACGTTTTTTTGCTTTTGTAAAGCTCAATCCAAAGGCCCTGTCGTGGCTTCCAGTGGCCCCTGCCAGCGAAGTCTATTTTAGAATGGAATTGTGAAGGAGGTCAGCCTGAGTCCAACGATTGGTGAAAACAAATCCAAATCATCAAGGCCTCCGTCAAATTCGTCGAGACCGTCATCAAACTCATCGTCCTCCTTTGCTCAGCGCACTAGTCTCACTTCAAAACAAAGGTATCGTCAGAATCAAAACTGTCAAGTCCAGAGAACCAACATGAACTAACTGCCTGTAGTGACCCAGGCAACTGAAGCAAAAACTAAAACATAATAAAACACTAAAACAAAACTCTTTTTGTACAGAGAGAAGTCTTAGGAAATCTCAGGAAGTCTGACAAAGTCTGTTCAGGTTTTCTTCGGTGCGCCTCCAAAGATTCTCGAGCTTTGAGAAGAGCCTGGCATATCGTAAGATACTTGTGTGACAACCTGTAACAATTTGTACGTGACATGCTGTAACCCCCGGAGTGGGACGTCTTGACAGCCGTCTGTATGCCTTTTTTATGGCCGGAAGGTATAGAGAAAAAATATACATCGCAGAAATATGCAGAAATAACATGAAATTTCCAAATATTCAAACTGATTTTGACAACAGAAATTCAGGCGGTGTCGAAACAGCAGACCAAGCCTTATGTTCTGCGAAAATTGCCATGTCCTCAGGCACAGTGTGAAAAGATCATCCTCTGCTCATATCACTTCAATACTTTTTGAACTGACATATATACCAAAAGGACCGCACAAGGCGGCGGCGGAAGTTTCAAAAATCGGAAACCTATAGGAGAGGTTGGTTGTTGTGACTCGCGGATGGCAGAGCGAATCCACTGATGGACCGACAGGTGGTTGGAGTTGTTTTTTTGGAATGGTTGCAATGGTTGCAGTGGTCACCTTACCACAACTGCTGGATGTAGTGTGGTGTAGTGCAGTTGCAGTTGTAGTTGCAGTTGTAGCTGTAGTTGCAGTGTAGTGTAGTAGAGCTGTAGCTGCAATGTAGTATAATTAGTGTGTTCGCAAGTGCAGTTGCAGCTGTAGTCGTGGTGTGGTGTGGTGTGGTGTGGTGTAGTGTAGTGTCGCGTCGCGTCGCGTCGTGTCGTGTCGTGTCGTGTCGTGTCGTGTGGTGTGGTGTAGTGTAGTGTAGTGTAGCGTAATGTAATGTAGTGTGATGTAAATGTAAATGTAAATGTGAATGTGAATGTAAATGTACATGTAAATGTGAATGTAAATGTAAATGTAAATGTAATGTAGTGGTAGTGGTAGTGGTAGTTGTAGTTGCAGCTGCAGTTGTGGTTGTGGTTGTGGTTGTGGTTGTGGTTGTAGTGTAATGCAATGTAATCAGTGTAGTGTAGTGTTGTGTAATGTAGTGTGGTTGCAGTTGTAGTTGCGTTTGTAGCTGTAGTGTGCTGCAGTGTAATTAGTGTAGTGTAGTGTAGTCGTAATTGTAGTTGTAGTTGTGGTAGTAGGTCTTGTTGTAATGGTTAGTGTAATTGGTGTAGTGTAATTAGATGTAATTAGTGTAGTGTAGTGTAATTAGTGTAATGTAATCTAGCGTAGTATATTTGCATTTGTAGTTGTAGCAGTAGTGTAGTGTAGTTGTAGCTGTTGCAGTTGTAATTGTCTATCTATCTATCTGTCTATCCATCTATCTATTTATCTATCTATTTATCTACTAATCTATCTAGTCTATCTAATCTATCTAATCTATCTAATCTCTCTAATCTCTCTAATCTCTCTAATCTCTCTAATCTATCTAATCTATCTAATCTATCTAATCTATCTAATCTATCTAATCTCTCTAATCTCTCTAATCTATCTAATCTATCTAATCTATCTAATCTATCTAATCTATCTATCGATCTATCGATCTATCGATCTATCTAATCTATCTAATCTATCTAATCTAAGTAATCTATCTATCGGTCTATCGATCTATCGATCTATCTATCGATCTATCTATCTGTCTGTCTCTCAATCTCTCTATCTATCTATCTCTCTATCTCTCTATCTCTCTATCTCTCTATCTCTCTATCTCTCTATCTCTCTATCTATCTATCTATCTAATTTATCTATCTAATCTATCTATCCCTCTATCTCTCTATCTCTCTATCTATCTATCTATCTATCTATCTATCTATCCTATCTATCCTATCTATCCTATCTATCCTATCTATCCTATCTATCCTATCTATCTTATCTATCTTATCTATCTTATCTATCTTATCTATCTTATCTATCTTATCTATCTTATCTATCTTATCTATCTTATCTATCTTATCTATCTTATCTATCTTATCTATCTTATCTATCTTATCTATCTTATCTATCTTGTCTATCTTATCTATCTTATCTATCTTATCTATCTTATCTATCTTATCTATCTTATCTATCTTATCTATCTTATCTATCTTATCTATCTTATCTATCTTATCTATCTTATCTACCTTATCTATCTTATCTATCTTATCTATCTTATCTATCTTATCTATCTTATCTATCTTATCTATCTTATCTATCTTATCTATCTTATCTATCTTATCTATCTTTTCTATCTTATCTATCTTTCTATCTATCTATCTGTCTATCTATCTATCTATCCATCTATCCATCTATCTATCGATCTATCGATCTATCGATCTATCGATCTGTCTATCTATCTATCTATCTCTCTATCTCTCTATCTCTCTATCTCTCTATCTCTCTATCTCTCTATCTCTCTATCTCTCTATCTCTCTATCTCTCTATCTCTCTATCTATCTATCTATCTATCTATCTATCTTATTTATCTATCTAATCTATCTATCTGCAAGCTTGAAAAAGAAGCTATTATTCTGCGAGACATCCTCAGATTTTGAACTTGACAACATCAAAAACGCAGCAATTCTGCGAGACTTCCTCAATTCTTGAACTTGACAACGTCAAAAACAAAGCAATTCTGCGAGACTTCCTTCAAAAATGGAACGTTGAATGCAGAGCTGACGGCCTCGTACCAACGCGTTTTGCGATTTTTCCACTCCATCTGTCTAAAGTACTGCGCCTGCCACGAAAACTGATGCCAGGTCATACGAAGTGCTGCACCTGTCACGTAAAATCATCTCAGCAAACCTGAAGATCTGATGCTCCAAAATGCAACCCCTCTCAGGAAATCAGCGGCCTGACCTGCTAACATCTCTGATCAACATGTCTCTTGTACTGCGCCTGCCACGCGAAATCCATCTTTGCAGATCCTTGTCAAATGCCCCACGCCTGCCATCGTTTTTGGAAATGCTACAAAACCCTCACGTTTTTCTCAATTTTGACAAGGTGCGCAATCCCTTGCGCCTGCCACGCAAAAGCACATCTGAACGTCGAAAACCCCCCGTACCCCGCAGTTTTTTGCGCTTTTAACTTCGAAATGTGCTTCACGCCACAACGGCATGCAATTTTTTCATCTCTCATCTGCCCAGCGGGCTCCGCACTCGCCGCTTTAGCGAGCCTACTTTTTGACCCTCCGGAGCCACAAATCATTGGAAAAACACAGTGTCTCGCGACTTTCCTACCTTTTCGCGCACCTGGATCTTCTTTCTCTGAGACTTTCTCTTTTTTGATATTCTTTCTTCTTCTCTTCCCTTCGCTGACTCTTCCCATCTCTGCTTTTCATCCGTCCATATTGTCGGAAGTTTGACTTCTAAACTTCCTTCGAATATACGTGTACTGTGTACATTATCTCTCTACAAATACAATTAAAATCATGTTTTTATACGCACATAAGTCGTACATATTTGACATATATATATATATACCATTAATGATCTCAGATTCAACCTTCTCATGTGTTGTTGCAAAAACAACTGTAGCTAGGAGCCCGCCGTTGAGCTTCTTGCAGGAGCATCGTGATCCACCGGGCCCCACAGCAATGCCTCTGGCCTAAGGAGCTTAAGTCATGGTAAAGTCATGATGTTAAAAGTATGTTAAAGTCTGTTAAAGTCATGTCATGTTGAAGTTCTGATGAAAGTTTAAGATGTTGTTGAAACCCTTCTGAGAGGTGCTGGAGCTATTGCGTTTATTCCAACTCAGTTTTGAACTCCAAAACACCGCCATCCAGCACCTCCTCAATCTCATTGTCCTGCCAGATTGAAACTGGTCGACGGACTTTGACCAATAGTATCACCAGAGTTCAACAAACAAGGAACCTCGAGTTCGTCATACTCTCCGTCATTTTCGAGGGCTCGAAGCACCTTGAACAAGGAAATCAAGATGTAAAAAGTGGCCACAGGTTTCTTCGAACTTGTTGCGATTCTGCAATCTTTTTGGGAGTTTTTTGTGGACAAAGGAATCAGAAAACAATGGGATTTAATCGCTTTGTGGGAGTCCAAGCACAACCTTACCCAAACGACAACTCCCTTGCTCGAACCTACTCCAGATGACCCAGCTTCCCTAAACCTTCTAATTACGCGAAACCTGCGGAAAACCTTGGCACCATCTCAAGGAATGCGTTAAGCCTGGTAAGCCTGTTAATGGAGGCTGATGTTCCAATCTTTCTATAGCGTTTCCCGCGGCTGCAACTTCCAAATGCCCTCCTCTTCTCCAACAGCTCCTTTGTGCTCCCTAGATCTCCAGCCATTCACAGTTTTTGTTCCCTGTTTGTGTTCATCTCCTGTCGTTCATTTCTCTCGATTGTTTGTATTTGCTAGATCCAGCATGATCCAGCGCTGCTGAGTAGAGAAAAGTCTGAAGAGATCTGAAGAGTTAAGTCACTCCGGCTTTGCATTTCCGCCTTTCTGCTGTGCAAACATCCTCCCAGTGTAAAAGCCGTCCAAGCTTAGCATGCAACAAGGTTTCTGCTTGTTGTGGCCGTGTTCGGGTCAGGGCCGTGCTGACATTTTGGAAGCAATCAGAGTACCGCGGAACTCCGCGGAGTACTGCAACTACCAAGGTCCCTGACCTAGAACAGAAGCGTGTCCTACAATGCACTCGTAGTGTTTGCACACTCGCCTCCTGTTCATCATCATTTGTTGGAAGCTGCTTGAAGAAATCCTGGATCAAGCGATGCAAATCTGAGGCTTCCTTGACTCGGCAATGCCGTTCCAAATTGTCGGATGGCACAGGTGCAGCGCCTCTTCCCGGACTGGCTCTGGAGCTTCCAGGACCACCCCAACAACACTTTTTGCCTCCACATCTTGGTCAATGAAGCGACAGGATAGCCATCACTGCTGTAAATTCCGACCAGTCAACACGCCAATTACTGATCTTTGTACCTGTCTTACCTGAAATGAATGTACGCCAAACAGGCCTTTTTAACACCACTCACGCTCTTCAAATGTTGCTCGTAGTTGTAGCCTCAAAATACATATACATTGAAACGTTGTCCAAAGCACTTTCGGCATCTTGGAGCATGCTTGAGCAGCTGCAACCCACTAAGTCAATAGCAAGCATTCCATTGAATCATCATAAGCTCAAGACCGTCAGGGGGGAAGTAACAATCTCCATCTAGATCTCCCCAGTCTGCATCCTAGCAAGAATGCAAGGATCTCAATTCATTCGATTCAGCATTGCTTTGAAACTCGCAAGACTGAATCCGAAGTCTGCCATGCCTCGTGAGTGCCTCAGTCGTTCGTCTTTGAGGCTTAACAGAGCTTCACAAAGCTGATTGATAGTTTCACATCGTGGGAGCTCCATTCATAAGATTTCATAAGTACCCGACCGTCCTCTTTGGAGCTCCTGACATGTGATATCATTTAATGGTTGCCAAATCAAGCAACGGTGCAGCAAAACAGAAGGGAATTCGGAAAGTCGACTTACTGAGTTCCAGGTCGCCTGGGCTCTGCAGGCTCTAGTTCTTCCAGTTGCTGACCGGGCTGGAAGATAGAGGACCTCACTGTTGGACTGATCATGACTGGTCTTACGGGAGACTCATAGAGACCCAACGTACGTCAACTTGCGGACACTTCTTGCGACTGCCTTTGGAAGTATTGATGCTTCTGCCATCAGGCGGAGCGGGAACATTTATGTAACTCTGGTGCTTTGGGATCGTTTCGATTCCATTAGTAGTTCTCCACAAGCGTGATGGACATACGACATGAAGTCTATCATACACTTATATAACTATATATAACTTATATACATGTTTCATCGTGTTTCTAATATGTATCCGAAACTTCGGCCACTTCCAATGCAACAATGCCTGTGTGAAATCGCCTGGCGCTCACAGTACCCCAAATGCGTGTACACCACAAGAGAATTTTGAGGGCCACACCCCAAATGTTGTAGGCTTTCTGGCATTGAGAGCATTTCTGCCTCCAAGAAGAATGGCCATAGATTGCGAATGACAATGGAATGATCAAATCTGCGCTTCCGCTTCTTTGCACAAGTCAGCGCCTCCGTCTTTCCAGTTCGTCTCAAGACTCCTCCAACATGTGCGACTAGTCGCTCTAGTACTCTCTGGTGTTGTCTCTTATTTTGATTCATTTTGCAGCGTGTGAGTGCTGAACTGAGGGAGCTGAGTCGCTGGCCCGGAGGAGCAAAGGGCTCGAGAATCAAAGGCTGTTGATCTGATGGGCGGGCAAGCTTTGACAAGGTGGCAACGCAGAGCTGCGCCCAGCTTGTACAAGCTCCTAAGGGGTGTGGACAAGTTTCAAACCTCGCGCGATAAACTCAGCCAGGTGTGCCCTCCCCATCATCAGCACCAGGACGCGCGACCAACTTGAAGTGCCGCACATCCTCTCAAAAACACATTCTCTTGCTATGTCTTTCAATAATTCTCAATAGGGGAAACTCTCAATGTTTTGGAGAGTTGAGGCATCTTTTTCCGGTCTGTGCAAACTTTCTTCAACCTATCAGCCACTCCTCCCCTTTCTTCGCGAAGCGACGCCGACCCATGATGTCGTTTTGGTGTTGCAAACTGATATCTAAATTGTGAATGGAATTTCTGATACATCAAAGCAGTACAAGCAAACAAATCAGACTTGAAAGAGCTACTTCTGACTACAATATCTACAATGCATGGCTTGAAGTATCCAAGTTGTTGTGTTTTTTTCCAAGATCTCTTGGCTGCAGCTATGCAGTGCTACATAGTGACATAGTGCGAAATAGAAAGGCAAACACCTCTTCCGCTTCCAAGTCTTTTCAGTTATGCATCCAGCCTACATCACATGACAGGAGCGGGAAGTAGGCAAGGCAACGTTTGGAACTTGTTTCTGGACTGCATGGGAAATATGTCAACGAAAGGCGGGAGTCAGCTGGGAGTGGATGTCATGGAGATCAAAGCAGCTTGGACTCTTTTACGGTCTTTTACGCATTCGAACGGATGAGCTCCAGCGGTCCAAAGCTCTGCATCTTGCGAGCAAGGCCTGAACTGGCTGAGGGGCCAAATGGATCCAAATGAGACAGATCAAAAAAAATCAAAAAGACGCAAAAACCCGAAGTTCTACGAGTCGATGGGAGTCATGTGCAGTGACAGGCTCGATGGATCAGTTGTCCTATTTTGACAAAGCTGGCAAGTCCTGCAGAAGTGGAGCTGCCTCGTCTGAAAGCCATCCTGCTTCAATCTTAGCAAAAACGTCTGTCAGAAGCTCACAAGATCTCACATGCTTTGAAGGGGACATGTAATACAGAATGCTCTTTCTTCTGTGGCTGCAATGCTCGAAGTTTTCAGGTTTGGAACTGCACTCCTCTGCTCCTCCTTTGCAGAGTCCATCTTCATGATGGTAACCGCCTGCATCTACCTTCAGCTTGGCACTTCAAAGTACATGAAGCCAAGACAAGAAACATCAAGAAACCATCTGATAGCTTGACAAGTCTTTTCAAGTTTTTCCCGTTTCCTTCCAATGCACCTTCACTAGAAGCAACTTTTGTTTGCTGAGCTGGGCACGTTGGCTGGCCATGCTTGTCAGTTGCCGCATTTGGTGCTATAGATGCTATAGTCTCACCTTGACAGTGACGACTCAGAAATCAACCAAGTGTAAGCTCAGAGGTAAAAACATCACTTTCAAAATTGCAAAGAACGTTTAGACACTGGCCATCAATTGGAGCAGCAAGTTCTGAGTTCTGAGTAGGTGCTGGACCGATCCCTGTAAGCGGCAGTGATATTCTCCTTAGAATACCAATTCTTTCCACTAGTCACTAGACAAAACCAGTCTCTCGGCGTGTCTCTATCCATTCATTACGTACAACGCAGTCGAGTGCACCCAGCCAGCGTTTTTACTCAATCAACTCTTCACTTTGGAGAGGCGGGCCATTCGCACAACGCAGGCCTTCAGTCCCCAGAGTCCCCAGTGTACTGGAGGGACCTGGAGGGACTATGAATAGCGCTTCATGAAGTCGTTGTGGAAAGCCGCAAAAGATTTCATGGCTCTTTGCATTTTGTCCAAAGTCGGCAAGAAGGTTGTACGAAAGTGAAATGTCCCTTCAACCTGCCTGAAGCCAGACCCAGGAACAACTACTAAGCCAGTATTTTCGAGCGCCTGCATACAATAGAATTCATCTGGTGCCACTCCATGCGCTGCTGCTTCCTGGATTGCCGCTTGGGGGAGTTTGATTTGGGGAAAGGCATACATAGCTCCGCCTATCTCGGGTAAAGATATGCCCTCTAGGGCACTCAGTGTTTCCCGGAGGATCTCTGCTTTCTGCCGAAGAGAGTCCAATACGTCTTTCTTTTCCTTTGCATAAAGGGCTGCAGCATCAGCAACCGGCGGACGCACCATCAATCCCACCGACAGTTGTCCAACTGTATTGGAGCACAGTTCAATTGACTTCAGTTTCACAAATTGTTGCATGATCTCAGGATCAAAGTTCTCGAAAATACAGTAACCGCCCCGAACCCCGCATTCTCCTAGGAAGCCCTTGGACAATGAATGCAGTGAAACTACCTCTAGGTCAAGATTGAGCTCGTGCATGATGCTGGACATGGACTTGAAGGGATGCTTTGTGAGAATATTCTCCTGGTACACCTCATCAGCAATCAGCACCAGGTTCTTCTCTTTGGCAAACTGGACAACATCTCTCAAAGTCTCGGCACTCAGGTTGTTCCCTGAAGGATTCCCTGGGTTGATCACCACCAATGCACGTACAACAATGCCTTTTTTGACTGCATCCTCATATGCGGCAGTCAAAGCTGGCAAACTGACTGCCCAATTTTTGTCTTCATCTAGATAGTAACCCACAAGCTCGCAGTCCATTAAAGTAGACAGGGCGGAATACAGCGGGTACTGTGGAATGGGTGCCATGAATCCAACAGTGCCCAAATGCTTTGCTGCCAAGGCTGACATCACTAAACGAGCGCCTTCACTTGCTCCGTTCGTAAGGAAGACATTCTTGACATCAGGACGATGGCCGTCGCGCTTTTTGATGAAGTCACACACTTCTTCTCTGATGAATTGGAAGCCAACAGAATCTGTGTATGCTCCCACCTTTGCACTATGCTGTATGTATTCCTTAGCACGTGCTACTGCCTCTCCCGATATCAGGCCATGTTGAGTCAACGTTTCAGCACTGGACAGCAGCTGTGGTGCAGTCAGCAGTGCAAGAACTTCTCTGTTGAATGTCAGGGGCTCCTGCCCCACCTGCTGCGGATTGCCAATGTTGCAATACACCAATTCATTGAAGGGATACTTTGAGCCTTTGGTCAATTCTTGCTGTATTACAGCCGCCCTTGTTGGCAGCCTTCCACGAACTGCATATTCAGCTGCCAGAACCTGCTTGTTGATTGTATCCAGAGTCAGGCTCTTAAACCGAGAAAATATTTGGGGGGCACCTCGCCCCAGGTGCAGCTGCCCCAATCGAGCTTTCTGAGAAGCCCACATGATTTCTGAGCCAAAATGCAGCGGATCAAAGAACTTCACGGAACTAAGAGAACCCCACTGCAACTTCGGAGGACCATTGAATTATTTTAGATATTTTAGTTTCTCTTGACTCAGTCAGTCCCTTTCAGAGTGATTTCTTTTCACTAGACACGCTTGGCTAGGGTACGTTACCCTTCAGGACCAAGAGGTTAGAGTTTCAATATGTGTAGCCGCTATAGCCATTGCGCATGTGTCGCGGCAGGTATATGGAGTCGACTGGAAACAAGATCAGACTGAACCGCCCTTCAAGACTCTGACAGTGATTGCCAGGATTGCAGTTTCGTTTAGCCATCTCTTCCACAAGGCCTGAAGAGCTTGGAATCATTCGCCATAAATCACAGCAGCACCAAAGCACTGCAACTCTTTCCGAGTCTTTATATCTCCAACTCTTTGATCTGCTGATCGTTTCACTGCTCCTGCCTGTCTACAAATGGCCTCGCATTCTTGCCTCAATCACATTTGGCAAATTTTGGCAACAGCTCCCAAAGATATTCACAAGATCTCACAAGGACAATCATATCAATCACTGGATAAGAACCAAACAGGGACACACGCACTTTCGCCATGGCGCTCCGAGCCGACTCACCCGGTCTCGCCGATTTGATCGGCAATAGCAGACAGGACGCTGAAGGAATCCGTCTAAATTGCCGTATCAGTCCATGCAATGGCGGATGAAAATATGAATGTCTTGCTGCAACAAGCTAAACCTCGTTTGTCGATATCTGCAGCTTTTAACATGATAGAAAAATGCAGAATGCACAATAGATGCGACCGTTGCACCACATCACTCTGACACATCTTTTGACCACAACAAAGACTTGCCTTTGGCATGTCAGGTCTTGTGACATTAACATAAGAATAACACAAGAACAATCAAAACTTGCAAGCCTTGACATGGCGAACAGACTTCGCTCTGATTGATCTATTGCCAAATCGTTTGGATACATTCCACAACATTCCACAAGTTGCTGCTCTCGCTCATCTCATCTATATCATCTATGTACACTGAACGTTGGTTGCTCAGGCATCAAGCAGCAACGGCTGGCCTCACGGTATGATTTCCTGTCTCCCCTTCATTCCCCGACTCTCTGACTCTCTGACTCTCTGACTCTCTGACTCTGCATGCCTAAAACTCTGTCTTTCCCTTTTTGGCTATCTGCTTTTCGCTGTACATGCAACAACTAAAACCGACCGTCTTAAAATCAATAGGCACGTTGCTTTTGTCTGTGAATGAGGAGTGTCAAAGGAACAACATGCTTCAGGAGTGACTTGCATGGCTCGTTCAGGTGGATTTGATACACTGAATAGAGCGCAGTCAGACTCAGAATCGGGCGAAGAGGCACTTTTCTGCATTTGATGCGACATAGACCTTCCCAACTGATTTCAAGGCGATGCTGGATGACGCTTCAAACTGAAAAGGAAACAAGAATATACATGAATTTACTATGAATTTATATACTAGAATACTGCAGGGCATGACAATCATGACAGGGAAAGACTTGGGCTTCCACCCACTTGTAGAGCCTGTCAGTGACTCTGCCTTGCTGGATCGGCATGAAAGCATCTGCTTTCCATCATTTCACATGCATGTAGCATCATGAAGCTGCGTGGTCCTCAAGCTCTAAAGGCTCTACTACAGCAAGGAAAGTGCTAAGACAACTGCTCCAAAGCGACCGAAGTCAAAGCGAGGAAAGCGCTTGGTCGAAGTCCTAGCAAAATCTAAGTGACTGAAATAATTTGTTCGTACATAAAATGATTCAAATGCAGCTATGATTGAGGCTGTCCTCTCCGGAGTGCTCCATGATGCCTGCAGAATGACTCGCAAACAACCTCTGCTATAGAATTCAGGCCTTTGCGGGACACAGTTTGTGGATGCTCATGAATTCCCCAAGCGTTTGCAAGAACAAAAAGAGTTCTGTTGATGAGAGAAAAAGTAATTTCGATTCTCAACGGCAGGAAAGCTAGACTGCCACTGGCCTGAGTTGACAATTTTCCAGCGGACGGAGAATGCATCCTGCAAGCCACTAACAACATTCAAACACACATGAAAATGTTGCGGAAAAACAACAAAGGGAAATGATTGACCAGCAGTAGACTGATCATGGCCAATCTATAATAGTCTCCAAATGTCTCCAAAAGCGTTGAGATGTCCCTGTCTCTGTGACTCTCTGTGACTCTCTGTGACTCTCTGTGACTCTCTGTGAGTCTCTGTGAGTCTCTGAGTACAGAGTCATCAGAACCATCTCAGGTGCTCGCGACTTGAAGCTTCGTTGCTTCCAGGCCTGGATTGCCCGAATTTCTTCGGTTTATTTGTTTGATTTATTGAAATTTATTCGTATCTATTCGTCTATTCGTCTATTGAAGGGAACATAAGGGAACCACAAGGTGGACCATCCAGGGTTCATCTGTCCACAGTGACTTACCAGGTTGGCAAGAAAACAACACTTGAATTGGGTGCATGCAGTATTGACCACTGAAAAAAATGTTCAAAACACCGCGAAAGATGAATCAAAAGGCCATGAACCCGATAGATCACCGGCTACATCAAAAGGCCATGACAAACAACTGACAACAACATGACTGTGACTGGAACTTCAAAGCAGCGAATCACCTGTTCCTCCTTTGAAAAAGAGAAGTCTATGGCTGTGGTCAGCCCGAAAACTGTTGATTGCACTCCAAAATTGAGAATACCGGAATTTCTATACACAATGATCACAAGGGATTGTTACTAAGTTTCCTCCGCAAGAGGCTAGGTTTTATTTCTTTACAAGGCTTAATTACCAACAATGCATGTTTTTCACAAACTTCCGCCCTTGCTTCTCTCAATATTATTCATCTTTATTCGCAATCCACTGTGCTCCAGGCGAGATCTTTGCTGCTCAAGAATGCCTCAGCAGAATGACACTTGTAAAAAGTACTCCTTGAAAGTAATCACAATCCATGACGTTCAATTTTCTCCAAATGTTTTACCATTACAAGGCTGATGCCGCTAGACAAGAATGGTAGAGGAAGCATCAATGCGAAAAAATGTTTGTGCTGTACATTAAATTGTCTATTATATATATACTATATTATGTATACATATATAGATAACTATACATGTACAGTATATAATATATTGTAGTATATCATATCATACTATTATATAATATTATATGACATTACATTGCATTACATTACATTATGTTGTATCAACTTGTGCTTACGTGGTGGTTTGGGTTGGTGGTTTGGAAGTCTGGGAATTGATGGTTTTGTGAACTTGGAAAAAACAAAAAATATCAAACCCTGTAAACAATGAAATCGTTGAAAATAAAGAAAACAAATTTAAAACAACAATGATTGCTACCAGATTAGGTTTGTTTTTGAATTGATATTCATTTTGTATCTCGGAAAATATACACTTATGTAATTTCCAAAAATTTCACGTGATTGTTTAATTGATTATTGAATTCTAGTGCATTTTTCTGTAATTGTCTATTTATTTTTGAAATGGGGGAAAGACAGTTTCTTGAAACCATGTGCTCTTATCCTGTACTCTGACTGATGCAGGTTTCATGGATTTCCATGGAGTTTTCATGCAGTTTCCATGCAGGTTTCATGTTGGTTACATGCTGGGTTTGCTGATTTAGCTTACTGGTGTGTAATCTCCATGACAACTCCCTGGAACCTGCATGGAATCTGCATGGAACCTCCATGGAACCTGCATCAGTCAGAGCGCATGAAAAAACCAACAAGTGTAGATAGAGGCACCACCTCCATAACGCACATGGAAACTGCGTGAAATTCTACATCAATTCTCCATGGAACCTCCATGGAACCTGCATGGAACCTCCATGAAAACTGCATCAGTTAGAAGGCGCCATGCAACCATCACGTTTAGACACAAGAAACAACGGTTACCTACATGAAACCTACATGAAACCTACATCAATTCTCCATGGAACCTGCATGGATACTCCATCAAAGAAGACGCCATGCAATCATCAGATGTAGATACAGGGAATATGTTCGAGTTTTTTTAATTGGAAACTACATGGAAACCATCAGACGCTTTGATGCAAATCGATCGCAAATCGATCGTAAGTAAATTGATCGCACATAAACTGTTATAGCATCTGTGCGTTTTGATGTCGTTTTCACTAGGCCATTTGTCTTTGCTGATGTTTCTTTTGCAGAATTTCTATTTATCCTGAGTGTTCGTTGCTTGGCGGTTTTGATGTTGGCAAGGGCAGGGTTTCAAGTGTGGACTTTGTAATGTGTCATTTTGATGTAGGATTTCGACGTTGTTTTACGATCATTTTGCGATCGTTTGTCGATCGATTTGACATCGGCCTAGAAACGAATAAGAAGGCCATAAAACAACATCAATATGACATCGACAAGAACCTAAGGCCTGTAGAAAACGACGCTTACCAATTCATATATTCATATGGTTTGGGAATCCAAGATGCACATAAGTGAGTTCATTTCTCTTGGTGGTTTCGATTTTTTAATCAACTTAGTTTGCAATATTATATGCTAGGAACCTCCATCAAATCGACACCGAGACAGACACAAAACTCCATCAAAATGACATCAAACAAAAATTCACATTTGAAACCTTGCCAAAATCGAAACCACCAAGCAGTGAACACTCAGGATAAATAGAAACCCTGGAAGAAATTGACTTTTCCAGTGCAGAAACAAAAAGGGACATCAACAAAGACAGATGACCAAGTGAAAACGACATCAAAATGCACAGATGCTATGACAGCTTTTTTGTGCGTTTTTTTACGATCAGTTTACGATCGATTTACGATCGATTTGCGATGAATTTGCATCAAAGCGTCTGATGGTTTCCATGTAGTTTCCAATAAAAAAACTCGAACATGTTCCCTGTATCTACACCTGATGATTGTATGGCGTCTTCTTTGATGGAGTATCCATGCAGGTTCCATGGAGAATTGATGTAGGTTTCATGT